GCTTAATCACACCATGAAGATATTTGAGAGAGTGCTGGACAAAAGACTGATGAAGGAGAACGACTTCACGGCGAACCAGTTTGACTTATGCCAGGCCAGTAAATCACGGATGCCATCTTCGCTTTAAGTCCAGTCTTCGGAACATACAGAGAAGGCAGTCGGGAACAGGACGTTTACATAATGTTCCTAGACCTGGAGAAAGTCTTGACCGAATCCCGAGGCAAGCAATTTGATGAAGCAGAGAAAGAAGCTTGTGTCAAAAAAATAGATAAGGCTTATCAGAGATAAGTACAATAGAGTGATAACGATAGAACAGGCAGCAAAATGAAAAAGTTCTCTGTGCAGGTAGGAGTCCACCAGGATTCGCACATAGCCCATTTCTGTTCTTGATAGCGACAGATGCGACAACTGAGGATATGCAGGAAGTAGCCACATACTGCATGCTCTATGCAGATGATATTGTGCTATGCAGCGAAAGCAGAGAAGCTGTAGAATCAAAAACCGAATCACGAAAAACAGCCATTGGGAAGAACGGCCATAGAATCAAAGGCAATTCAGAATATAAGGCGAGCTATTTCAGTAGGGAAAACAGATTGAGAGCTGTCAAACCAGTGAAAGTAGCGAGGAGCTTACTGCCTCAAATCCAAGAATTTAACTCCTTTGTTTCATTTTGTAAGGTAATGCAGAAATCAACAGTGAGATCAGAAATCGGTCAAGAAAGCTAAGCGCATGTAGAGAAAAGTAAACAGAGTGCTGTGCGACAAGATGTCCATCAGACTGAAAAGGATGGTGTACAGAACGATAGTAAGACCGGTGCTTCTGCTGAAGAAAGTTTGGGGCATGTTTGGATAACATGAAGAGATAAGAGCAACAACTGAACGCAGCAGAAATACGAATGCTCAGATGGACCTGTGTTTTAAGCAAAACCGACCACATTCGAAACAGTTCCACAAGAGGCACTCCACAGGGTAGCACCGATTTCAAAAAAGCTTATCGAAAGCAGGCTCCGTTGGTTCGATCGCTGAAAAGAAGGCCCATCGAGAGCGTTCCAAATGTGGTCCGAGTTCAGATACTGCCGGGGAAAAAAGAAGGGTAAGATCAGTGAAAAAGTTAACGCGATGCTGCCAAAAACGATGTGAAACTGCGAGTCCACTGAAGATCTGAACAACGACAGAAAAACGTGGAGATTGACTAGATTAGCGGACATCTGTTAAAGGAAACATTCTAGAAAGAAGAGTATTTTTACTGTTTGTTCTTTCACCGGATCAGGATTATTTCCATTTTTCACATAGAATTAATCAATTAATTCACGCCGTCTTAAAACTAAGTTGACGTTCACACTTTGTGCTGAAAATCAATCAGCTGTTAGGAAAATCAAGGCGAATTGCAGTCAGAGTATGCATCAGACAGCATTGCCGCATACCGCGCCATCAGTGCATGATTACACGAAAACGGCATGCTGTCCCTATTATTCTCAGGTTAACGACCCCTGTAAGCCGTTTTTCACCTGGTCGCAATAAGTTGATTTCGTTGCTCAAGAAAATTTGCAGTTATTAAGCTAAAGACACGCCAAGCGTGGGGTCTGAAACCGGCAACTCGAAATTCCAAAGGTAAATACTACCCTAGCCGTTTCAATTCGGTATCATTATTCATCCGTAAGAGATATATTGGCGATATTCGAAAGCTATGATTCCGGGAAGCTGCCCCAGAACGTCGGGGTTATATTTTTGTACGTATTAGCCTTTGCACGGTCTGAAATGCCATGGAGCCGTGGCCTGCTCAAATGGTTCTCTACGCAAATAGACACAATGAGGCGGTACAATACTGAGGTACAACCCGCTGTAAAGCTTCCACCTGCCATCGCAATATCGCTGTAAAGTAAAGACTGATTTTTCTTTCTTTACACGGCATATTTTCGCCGTTTCAATCCGGTTTCATCATCTACTTGCAATGGAAATTCTACCTTACTGCGTTACTGCCCCTTTCACACCCTTTTGCTGATTCAACCTAATACAAAACGGATATAACACTGTTGAATTACAGCGTACGAATCAGGCAGTGTGGCAAAGCCAGAATATCACGCTGTGCAAAATGGTCGCAACTCAGATTTGCTAGTCGTTTATCGACCGGCTGCAACAGGCACGCGGGTTTTAATTCCTTGCTTAACGAAATTAGCAGTTAAAGAAAGAAAGTTATACCACGTTAAGATTCGGAAACGAACCTATGACGCATGAGAACGATTTGCAACTATGGCTGCCCTCCCCGGCCAATCCATATTTCCAAACAGCACAGAAAATGCTAACTTACCCAAAACACAATGTTGAACATGAAGAAGACATAGCGAATAAACGAATACTCGATATTCAGATGCATCCCTACGATGACGGCATGTTCAGCAGCAAATCAAATGCCAGGCTATAAAATAAGGAACATACATTAGCAAAATAGCAGTTGAAAAATATAAGGGGAAGAATCGAACAAAACATGAATATATTCCATCATGCGACACTGTGGCGAACCGCTGACGCCCAATAACGGATTTTCGTTACAAGGTCGGAGCGACTGTTTGCACATCTCTGTCACTTC